AAGTTCTCTTATCCCTAAGAAAGCTATAATCTTGGTGATTGGTTTAGATCTGAAGAACAAATTCAATTTCCATTGATAAGAGTTCCTCTAAAATTAGTTAATCAAATTTCTATTCAATTACTATGTAAGGTGCAGAATCAACCACTCAATCCATTCTAAAACTTGAAATCCAGATCCAAAATCAATTCAACATGTTCGTTTTGGATCTACAATCCCTAACTATGAAGAAATTACACAGCCATTTCAGTAGAGAAAGAAAAAGAAAGAGAAGAAGAGGAAGAACACAGAAGATCCATCTTCAGTCGATCCCCAATCTGATTCCTCTAGGTTGGAGCTCAAAGTTCGTCCCCAATCTCTCTCTCATACTCTCTCCACACCCAAGAACTAAGTAGAAATGAAAAATAAACAAAAGATCCAAAAATCTGAGCGTTTCTGCAATTTATAATTTTTTCTGACTTTGGGCGTTGTCACTTTGCTTCATAAGAGTGGCCACGCAAAGGCTTATGTAGTTTCTGGAAAACTGAAAATTCACTTTCGTTGATAAAAGTAGCAACGCAGGAGATCGAAGAGTGCGCATGATCACTTTCGAGAGCAAGAGTGGCCACGTGCAACTTGCAGAGCTGAAAGTCTCTCTGGAACGTTCACTCTTGCTGATGAGAGTGACCACGCGCTTCTTGCTATGGATGGGGTCTCTCTGGAGCACTCACTTTCGCCAGCGAAAGTGACAACGCGCAAGTCTGCTAAGTTTGAAGTCATCTAGAATACTCACTTTCGCTAGCGAAAGTGACAATGCACAACATGCAATGTTTGGAGCTTCTCTGGAACGCTCACTTTCACCAGCGAAAGTGACAACGCACAACATGCAATGTTTGGAGCTTCTCTGGAATGCTCACTTTCACCAGCGAAAGTGACAACGCACACTGTGTTCTTCTGAGAAACGCTCTAGAACACTCACTTTCACTGATAATGGTGACTACGCCCAAACTCTACTTCTCAATTAAGCTCTGGATCACTCACTTTCACTGGCAAGAGTGATCACGCCCAGCCCAAACTCCATACATCTTGTTCTTTGAGTCCAGACTTGCTACTTTTCTTCTTTCTCTCCATTGATCTTCCATCTTCATGAACATTGCTCAGGATTTTCTACAAAAACATGCTTGAATTACTAATTTCTATGCAGAAAATACACAAATGCTAAAATAACTATGTATTTAAAGACAACCTTTAATCCTTCTATTTTTATGAGTTTTTCTGCTTTTTCTAATATATTTTCCATATCAAATGGATTAAAACTATATTAAAATATTAGTAAAAATATGGATTCATCAGAAAGAGAGGGTGATGGTAACATTAACAGTAAGCAGGGGTGCGCCACAGGCCACACTCTCCTCTTAACTCTACCTCTGACTAACACCTTTGTTTGGGGGCTCAATACTACACACGTTGTATTCGTAGAGCAGGAGCTATTCGGCGACCATTCATAGTGTGAATTGAGTAAATCCCTAAGGTTGAGGGCATCAGGAATCTGTGATTACAGTACCACAGTAATGAGCGCACGTGTGTGTGAATTGTTTGATGGTGTGTGAATGAGAATGGAACGATGAAATGATTACTTGTGTTTGTTAATGAATGATTTAAATTCTATTAGAAAACGTATGGAATGGGCAAGTGAGACTCTATACTTGTGTATGTGTGTGTGATAGTGTAGAGTACTCTCCTTTATAGTTATTTTTCAGGTGACAAAGATGATCAGCATCGGGCTTAATGAAAGGATGAATGAAACTGCTATAGGACTTAGAAAGTTATTTTGAAAACTCTGATGTATTTAAATTAGTCTTGTAGCAATCATTTGATATAAACTTGTAATCCATCCTTATTTTGAAATACTTTATTGAACTATGTATTGGGAACCATTTGAATGAAAATTTTATTATTCCCATTTTTATGAAATTTATTTATTTGAAAATTAAATTAAGGTGTTACACAAAGAGCAAAGCAAACAACCAAAAATCTCATCTCAAACTTATATTTATGAAATAAAGAAATACATAATCACACTTATATGAGCATGAGCAAAAGGAGTATGTGATGTTTTAATGATGAGATAGAGTTCTCTTTACCTTGAGTAAATGATTTGCAAAGGATTTTGCGTAAGATATCGTTTAAAAGACCAAGTTCTTCCTAAGTATTACAAAGTGGAGTAACTTTTTGAGATAGAAGGAAATGAAGAAATAGAAGTGAGATCTGAAGATTAAGTTCTTATAAACTTACATGGAATCAAGGGAAAAAGACATTCAACCTTGGATTTGAGAGAGGTTCGAGTTCTTAAGGTGATTTGACTATGGAAGGGAAGTGAGAGAACAAAGAGTAATGTGAGAAATGGTTGCTTGGCTTATAATCCAAGTTTTAAAACATCAAAGTTACTTATATTTCCTTTTTGCTCACAGCTTCTCGCCTAAGCGGGACCATTCTCACCTAAACGAGACAACCAAACAGAAGTTTTTTATATATTTTATGATATTCTCTCTTTGTTGAGCATTTTCAGTGTATTAAGCTTATATGTAATTACATTTGTATTTACATTATTACTATGGCTATTTATTTTGTAAGTTCGCCCTTGCATTTTATCTATATTGGCATGTGTGTTGCAATGACCATACGGTAGTACGTAAGCAGGAGTAACACATAAAGCGTCCACTTCCCGTACTAGAGGGTCTGCCTGAGGAAGGATCCGTGTTGAAAATCTTTGGTATATGTAGTTTTACTTTTGTTAGTCTAGATCTTAGCTGTGAGTCTAAACTATTTAGCTATAGATTTGATCATGGAATGTAAATTTTGATATAATTTGTATTTTGAGATCCGTGTCGAGCAACTTTGGTGTTCAAATTTTATAACGAGACCTTATTTTACTATTGAGATGTCGAGTTCTTTATTTTTCGTTGATCATCTTAATTAACTTTTAATTCTTCTTATATGCTTAAAATTTATATAAGTTTAAGTATGTTACAGATCCTTCCTAAAAAAGGTGTTGTGACAATTCAATCATTAACTTAAGGAAATTTTCAATGAATTTTGATAAACCAAACCTTTTTCCTCATTAGTACACTTTACTATAGTTGATTCTTTGTCCAATTTTTGACAAATTAGATCTCTTTCTCATGCTAAAGTCATTTATAAAATTTTTTGATAATTAATTTCTTTTAAAATTAAATTATTTTAGTATTATTTTATCTGATTTTCTTTAATTTAACTCTTTTTCGAGTAAATTTCACCAAATGTATTTTGATTTCTAACTTTTTATATATTATTTAATTTTAATTTATTTAAATTGATATGATTAGTAATTAATTTAGAAGTAGTGAAATTTTAGAGTATTATAATAAATATAACTTTTTCATATGAAATAGATAAGGTTTGACTTACATTATTAATTAATAAATATTTTATTAAAATTAATATAAATAAATACATTGTTTTATTTTTAGGAAAAATTATTTATGTTTCTTCTATCAAATCTTAATATTAATTAATATTTAAAATATATATATATTAATTAACAGACAATCTTGGTGATTTGAAAACTCATTTCTATGCAATTAAACATAAAATTATTATAAACAATAAAACTCTTTTTTTAAATATTTAATACAATTATATTTTTAAAACTTTCAAACTAGAAATCACATAAAGTGAAAGAACTCAAACTCCTACTAATTAATTATGTGCTCGATGAGTAATTGCAATACTAATACGATATTTTTTAACTGAAATAAAATAGAGTGAGATTGATTTCGAAATTGATTTAGATGTTCCATACAAAAATCATCATACCTGTATACTATCAAAATTTTCACGGATAACATTACTCGGATTCCTAATCTAAATATATTAATTATATGAAAAAGTTTGCTGTTACGATTTTATTTTATTACAACAACTTAAAAAAAACGTGGTCCATTTTTGTGTTCTATTAATTTTTTCACTAATTTATTCATGAACTAATAAAAAATCACTTCTCAGAATCGGCACCCACTACCTATATTATATTAGTGTGGTAATCTTGGTTAAACAAAACAAAATAATATTTTTATTCAAAATCATGATAAATTATGTTAAAAAAAATTATACTAATAATGTTTTTCATAAATAAATTCATGAAAATCATTCTAAATCTTTTTAATTTTTTTATTAACTTAATTTTTTATTTTAGAAACTTAATAACTAAATAAAATAATATAAAAGTTTTTATATATTAAAATAATATATAAATAAATTTTTATTTAATACTTACTTTATAAAATAATATAAAATACTAATTTTTTAATTATCCCTGTAAACATTCTTATTTCATTAATATTTAAACATTGTTTTATGAGACGACAAATAAGCATTACGTGTACGCAGGTGACACTAAAGAATGTACGCGGGTGATAAAATTTACTATAAGATCGTTAACACAAAATTATATTTATTTAAAATATTACTATTCATTCTCTTAAATATTTGGCATTATTAATCATTATATTAGAATTAAAATCTTTAATTACTTTTTAAATATAAATAATTATTTATCTGAGAAAAATTATTTATGAATTTTGCTATTGTTTGAGTTTTTGTTATTATTATTTTAATTTTAACTGTTTAGATTTATATAATAAATAATTATAAATTATTAATCTCTTAATTTATTAAAATATTCTATTAAAAGTATAAAAAAGATTGGTTAACAAAATCTCGTAATAAAATTACTTTTTCTGAGAAAGTCATGACCGTTTTCCTTTGTTGAAATGCTCGGCCTCTGGTTTATAAGAAGCAGTTTCCACGTGGGTCATTGATTACTCTTTCATTAATTAGTGGCTATCCTGCATCTTCCTTCCTTCCTTTAAACTTCCGAGTAATACTTAGTAACGGTTGTTGCCAACAACCCTCACTCACTCAACACTTTATTTTCTCCTTATAAAGCCCCTTAAATTCGTAGATTCAATCTAAACAAACAATCCATGGCGGCGCAAGTTTCCGACCACCTTGAGCCGTGGCACACCCTCGCCGGAAAAGTGGTGATGGTTACCGGCGCTTCCTCCGGCCTCGGCCGCGACTTCTGCCTCGACCTCGCCCGCGCCGGCTGCCGGATTGTCGCGGCGGCACGCCGCGTCGACCGACTCGTGTCGCTCTGCGCCGAAATTAACCGACAGTTTGCCGCCGCAGGAAATCGGCGACGCTGAACGGAGCCTCCGCGCCGCTGCGGTGGAACTGGATATCACAGCCGACGGCCCTGCCATTGAGAGGTACGTGCAGAAGGCGTGGGAGGCGTTTGGCCACATTGATGCGTTAATCAACAATGCCGGTATTAGAGGTAATTGGAATTTTCTTTTGAACCTTGGGATGAACATTTAGATGCATCGAGGTTTGAGAAATTGATAATGGTTTTGAACAATTGGGGACTCTTTTGTCTGAGCAGGTATTAGTAGATATGAAATTTGATTTTTATAAATTTTATATAACATGAGTTTTTTTTTTTTGCTAAAATATAACTTGAGCTTTAGTTGATATGAAATTATTGTTTTAATATTTGTCAGTAACGATTTAACTTTAACTTTGAGATTTTTTTTTAATTGATACTGATTTGCAATTTATTTTCATTGTATAAGATTGATAATTTGTTTTGAACTCAGGATTGTCGTTTTAAACTTTTACGGTTGAGATTAATATTTTGAAATTTCGCAATTTTTTATATATTAATATATACTAAAAATGGATAATTTTGAACTCCACAAGTCTGTAATGTTTTTAAAAGTGGTTGTGTTTAATTGTTGGTGTGGTGTAGGAAATGTGAAATCAGCCTTGGAATTATGTGAGGAGGAATGGAATCAAGAGTTCAAGACGAACATAACTGGGACCTGGTTGGTGTCAAAATATGTGTGCAAACACATGAGTGATGCACACCGGAAAGGGTCAATTATCAACATTGCTTCAATTGCAGGTTTGAATCGCGGTCAATTGCCTGGAGGTGTTGCATATTCATCTTCGAAAGCAGGCGTTAATATGCTCACAAGGGTAAATTATATAATCATGATTATCTAAACTGATTCTTGAACAACAAATAAAAAAGAACAACAGTAAAGTTATTTTGATTCTTAAAAATTTATCATTTAATATTTTAATATTATTTTTTAATTTTCTGAAAATAACTAAATATTTTTAGACTAATTTAATGATCATGATAAAAGGACAGGATGTAATATTTTATTTTATTTTTAATATTTATTAAACAATATGATATGATAGTCTATTCTGTCAAATTATTTTATTTTCTATAGTAATTAATAAAATTAATTGTTTTTAAAAGTATATGGCTGACATTAAATGCATCTAAAATAAAATAAAGATAATATATTATGATTTTTATGTTTGTTGAGTGATACTTGACAGGTGATGGCATTGGAATTGGGGCCACAGAAAATAAGAGTGAATTCCATATCACCTGGACTTTTCAAATCTGAAATCACTGAGAAATTAATGGAGAAAATTGGTTGAATAACGTGGCCTTGAAAACAGTACCCTTGAGGAAATTCGGCACTGCCGATCCAGCATTAACATCGATGGTTCGTTTTTTAATTCATGATTCTTCTGAATATGTGTCAGGCAACAATTTTATTGTGGACGCCGGAGCCACCTTACCAGGTGTACCTATTTATTCCTCCTTTAAATGAAAGGATGTATTCTTCTTTGGTCTAAACTAAGATGATTGATTTGTCATGATTTAAACAATTGTTTTGATGAAAAGAAAATTATTTTGGAACACAAGTTATGATGATCTCACTTCCTTGTATCTAAAGAAAATATGTTCATTTCATTCTTTTTCAATTGCTCAAAATGTCTCAAGTATGTGTATTTTTTTTCTTAAATTTACCCTTATTTAGTGCGTTAGGTATCGATAAACATATAGTATGTTTGAATTTATACCAAAATTACTTTTTAAAATAATTATAAGCGTCATAAGTATTATTTTAATAAAATTAGATATAACTTAAGATGTAATTAGTTACATTTTAAGTATTAATTAAATTATTTTTAATATTCTTATTTATTTTTCTTTAATTTAATTTATTTTATTTATAAAACATTTAATATGAATTTATTAAACTTTTATAATAATATAAAAATATTTATATAATTTAAAAATCACGTTAGCAAACGCATTCTTTTAATTACAATTTGTCTATTTTATGAACAGATTGATATCGCATTCGATTAAATAAAAAACAATTTAAAAACAGTAATTAAGAGACATTTAAGTACTTTAATTAAAAACGCTAAAAATGAAACAGAAATCAGGAGAAATTTTAAATATAAATAAGAAAATAATCAACAAATTAAAATATGGAAAATTTTAATAAATCAAAAGTAATTGATTTATGATTTCTACTCAACAAAATAGTAAATGGTTACAAAAATAATCTCAATTTGTGAATTCAATTTAAATAACAACCGTCTTTAATTCGAATTCTTTAAATATGTTTAATAGGCATTCTTAATTCAAATTTTTTTAATAGTCATTGAACATGCATCAATAGATTTAACATGGTTCTTTTAAATTTGATCTCAAAAGTTTGAATTAACGAACAAATATTTTGATATTGCACGAGTAATGAATTTGATACGTGCAAATTATTTGGAATCATAACAACGTGATTTGAGACCGAATTAAAAGTATTTGTAATAAAATTGAGAAGGTAAGAAATAAGGTTTTGAATTAGATTGAAGTGAAAAACATTACCTCAAATTCATAGATCCATCTAAGAAATTACTTATCCATCATAATGTAAACACAAACCCAAGTTTAGAGACAATTATCATGGAAAAACTAAAATAAATTAGCAAGAAGGAAGAGAATAAATAAGAAATAATTCAAATGTTAACTCCAAATTGAAATAACTACAAAACGTAAAAAGAAAAAAGTCAAAAATATATTCTCAATTCCTCCAAAGCTAACAAATTCATAAAGTAAAATGGATCATAAAGTTTAATTAGGCCTAATCCTAATTACAAACTACTAATAGACACTTCATCTCGTAATTTTGGTAACAATATGAGGAGGTTAATTTCAAATTCCTTTAACTTTCAACTTAGAACTCCAAATATGATAAATGAGATGTTAAATGAAACTCTAAGTTATCTTTCTAACGTAAAAGGAATCACTAAAAAACTTTATCTATATCAAAAGTTATAGCCAAAATAGTGAGCACGTGTCAATGTACTAAAATACAAAAAATATGTAGAATTACTAATTAAGACCTAAATAAGACCAAACATATAAAACTAGCCTAAACAGTGAAGTAATCATAAAAATAGTGTCAAAGTAGTGTTAAAGATATTAAAGTATCACTATAATATAATTCATCACATATCTATACAAGTACTACAACAATATTCATCCAATACTATTAAAAACAATCTAGAATAATGTGAGCAACATAGTTTGTAATTTTTGAATTCTCAAACTAGTTATTCTAAGAAAATAAATATTATATTTCTTAACTTTTCACTCAAATATCAAATTAGGGTATGTAACGCCCCAGATTTATTAATAATATATTGATATATTATATAAGGGTATATGTGAAATTTTCATATGTTTATATATTTGATATATATATATATATATATATATATATGATGTGTATGAATATGATTGTGAAGAGGTTCATATAGTGTGGTTGAATGTGATATGGATTTGATTGAGCTGTAATTGATTGAAAATTTGGCTAAGTGTGTAATGCAGGGCCTTCTCGCTATAGCGAGAAGGCCCTGGGCAAGCTGGGTGATTCTGTTATGTTCTTGCTGTAGCGAGAGGCTCCTCGCTGTAGTGAGAAGCCAACAGAGAGGGGTGCATTTCTGGGCGTAGTCTCACTGTAGTGAGATTTCTGCAGAAATCAGAGTGCAGTTTCTTTTGAAATTTTTGCAAATATCTCGCTGTAGTGAGAGTATCGCGACCAGAAGGGTATTTGAGAGATTTAGGGTTTGGGAAACACGTTCCCACTCTTTTGGCTTCATCTCTTATCCGATTCTCTCTATTCCTAACCCGTTCTTACTGATTAAACAGCCTTCAAAGTTGTTCGTGAGTTGGATTGAATGGTTGGAAATGTGTGTGAATGGCATGTTGATGTTGATTGTGAATGTGTTTGAATATGTTGGAAGCTATGAATGGTTCAACGATATACTAGAAATGTGGAAGATGGGGCGGTAAATTACCATGGGGAAAAGAGGGTGGTGGTGACACCAACAGTAACGTGAGTGCACCACAGGCCACACACTCTCCTCTGACTCAGCCTCTGACTAACACCTTTGGTAAGGGACCGTGACCGCACACTTTGTATCCGTGAGGCAGAGGTTATCCACTAGTGCCACAGTGAGCCTTGATAGCGTGCAGTGAGCGTACGTGGATGTAAATTTTTTGATGGTACAGTGAGCGCATTTGTGTGTAGATGAGAATGAATGTTGAAATTATTGCTTGTGTTTGTATAATGAATGATTTATATTATATTGTGATAGAATTGTGGAAGTATGTCAGATAGCTCTATGCTTATGCATGTTGGATATGTGGAGTACCCACCCCTACATTTATTTTTCAGGTGACCAAGACAATCAACACCAAGCTCAATGAAGGACGGATGAAACTGCTATAGGACTAGAAAGTTTATTGGAAACTCTGAGTATTTAAAAAGTCATGTAGCAATCTTTAATATAAACTTGTAATTCATCTTATTTGAAATACTTTATTGAACTTATGCATTCAAAAATCGTTTGAATGAAAAATTTTATTTATTCCCATCTTTACAAAAATTTATTATTTATTGAATAATTAAATTAAATGTTACAGTACTCTATTTCCTCTCTCTCTAAATGTCTAGAGACAAAAGGAAACATCACTCAATA